AAAAAAAACAAGGTTACTAAGCAAATCATGCAGTCATTAAGTGAATCGAGCTTCACCCATTGACTTGCTTGTCAGAAGTTCCCTGGGAAGGATGAAAATGGTGATCACAACCTAAGGCACTGCAACCATTGTAAACATATGGTTCATCATACCAGAGGGATGTTTCCAACCGTCTTGCACTTCAAAACATCCAAATTTTGATTGGGGACATTGCAATGTTTGTAAGTGGGAAGACTGGTTGCAAGTCACTCCCCCAACACCATTGTAACTTCAAATGGTTGTTAAATGAATGTTGCACGTTGAGAACTACTTGCAGGCTGTAATAGTCTCTTGTATCTCATAATATATTTGTATCAGGGGTGGGTTCCTGCCGGTTCTAACTGGTTTGGTAGAAGAACCGCCAGAAATCTACTGCACTGGTTAGAAGAGGTTCCTCATGGAGCACCTACTCCGCCCCCTCGCACGCTTGCCCCACCAGTTCCATCAATGCTTGCGGGCGGTAGCTTGTGCAGCACGGCCGGCCTCCTAGGACCTCCCCGAACTTGCCTAGGAGGTGTGACCACCAGCAAAGCATGGGGGCATTCCAGGGCATCCCCACCATCCACTGGTTCCCACCTCCCTTCCCGGCGAAGTTTTCCAAGCTATGGTTTTCCTCCCATCCCTTGTGCCCGACTCCCGCTGAGCTCTGGTAATTAGGAGAAGAGCCTTTGGAGAGAGAAGAGGAGCAGGAGGGAGGGAGGAGGAGGAGGAGGTGCATGCACAGGGTCGTGCCAGCTGGGCAACCGGCAACCAGCGGAGGCAGGAAGCTTCTCGGGAGCGCTGTGAACCTTCCTGCCTCCACTGGACTTCGCGCTCTTCTCCGTGCGCTCCTTGCGACTGTAATAGACATCCAGAAGTGGCTTTTGTGGCTAATGGGGTTTGGGCTTCCAGTCTGACAGCCCCCGCTGCTTCTGGATGTCTATTGCAGTCCCGAGGAGTACACACAAAGTCCAGCAGGAATGTTCTCGGCGCTTCCCAGTCACTTTCATGGCTTTCCAGAGCACCACACTCTTCCCCGTGCGCTCCTCCGCTTCTGGACGTCTATTGCAGTTGCAAGGAGCGCACGGAGAAGGTTCTTGGNGCTTTTATATGTGCAGGTTGGTACAAGCTTTGTGAGATTTTGTGTGTTTCTGTGTGATACCTGGTTTTTGAGGTTGTGTAATCTTTGTGAGGTGGTTGCTTCTAACAGCAATCACCTTTTATGTGACTTCATGGCTGCTTTCATATGTTCAGTGGCTTTGTGAGCTCCTGCAGCTTGATGGGTTTTGATATGTTTCTGATTGCCCTGCTTTTGTTTTCCCTGGTTAGTCTTGGTCCCAGGTTTTTTGTCTTTCCTATCCTGGGGATTAATTCTGCCAGGAAACAGGAAAAGGCTAGTTCCAGGTGAGCTATTTTTAGCCTGCTGATTCCCCTTATCTTAATGGGTGTACTTAAGTGTAAGTGTTTAAGTGTACTTAAATCCTTTTAGCTGGTGCTTTTGCCTGGGGTTTCCTTAAAGGGGGAAGGGCTGGCACTGTTTTCTGTGGTTTCTGGTTCTGTGAGGTTTCTGGCACTCTCCTTTATGCTAATACTTCCCACAATGCCTTGATGGTTTTTATTCCAGTGGCTTTGTCTTTCCTGTCCTTAGGGTTAGGGGAAAAATGGTTTTATCTGCAGTCTTTTGGGGGAAAACTGTTGTTATTCTTTTGGTGTTTTCCTGGCACTGTCATATTTGGGGGTGTGTGGGTGTAATGTCACACAGTTATCTACACATTAAT